TGCTGCACAGGGTCAGCCCACAAAGGTGCATGGAGCTGTTAACGGGCAGGCTTGCTGGCCTGCTGGGTATCACTGTGTGGCTGTGCCTGCTCTGACAAGGGCCCTTGCCTAATCTCACAAGGAGACCCCCTGGGCTTAAGGTAGCCCCACGTAAATTCCCCTTGCCACTCAGCCAATGCAAATGACCAGGCCTGACGCCAAGGGAGGGTTTGTTCCCAAGACTGTCAAAGGTTGGTCTTGAGTCAGTGGGACCACGGCTGACCCACTCCCACATACCTAGGAGCACACTCAACAGCCAGCTGTAGAAATACTGTGTCCTCCTAGAGTGCTGGCACACGCTCACCGCCGACCCAGCTGCCGTCCGTCGGATGGTTGGGGAGCCCGACTTCAGATTCGCTATGAAAGCCTTGAGCAAAGCCTACAGAAAGAAAAATGCAGGCAGGTATCATGCAGCCCGGGAGCTCCCTCACACCAGAAGCTCCATCTCCGTGCAAGGGGTGAACTGCGAATGACCTGAGACCTGCGTGTGCGTGAAGTGAACCCCCCAGCTGTGGGATACTCAGGGGTGGGGGAGGACAGTCTCCTGTCTTCTCTGTGAGCCGCACTGAGGTCTTGCTCAGCGTTGCTGCCCTTGTGTGAAGGAAGCCTTAGCTTCCAGACACAGTGCCCCCACTGTACTCAGGGACAAGGCCAGAACACAGCACTACGTCAACTCCAGGCAGGTAAACCAGCACGCAAAGAATGACACTGAGGACGAGAGAGTATCAGCCAATGGCAGCAGGGTCCTGGCCCACAAGCAGCCTGTACACATGGTGCTGATGCCACTGGAGAGGTTCTCAGGAAATCCTACCTGGAAGACACGCACCACTTAACTGAGTAACAACAGCATACTGCCCGGCAGACCAGTGTTCCCAAGCAGGGAGACAGTAAGACCTTGCCCCTGGACTCCAGGAGAAGGGAAAGAGTAGATGCTACATCTAATGACAACCATTCAAGGCCCACTAGAGACACCCGAGAGGGAAGGGGTGACAGTGCACTGCACTTGTGGTGACTGTCACCTAAGACACCTGTTCCCACTCTCCTGACTGCGCTCTGAGCCACTATTTGGGCCCATCCCTGCTGAGTCTTTCTGAATATCACCAACCGTGAGTGGGACTCAGGAAGGGCTACACCACTGGGCAGTGACCCTTAGCAAGAGGGCCAGAAACCAGTAAACTGGCACCTAGCTGGGCCCAAAGCTGTTCCTGCACCGTGTGGGTGGCACACCTGGTTTTCAGGGACAGCAAATCTCGGTCCTGTTATGGACCACACCTGTAGCCTACACTGCGGAGGGGTAGCTCCCCACTATGTGACCCTGATGGCTTGTGGCCTCTACCTCCTCCCCAACCACCACTAGAAAACCCAGTGAAGTTATCTCTGACCAACTCTAGCTATAAAGAAAGATACTGGCGTCTTAAGGAACCCCCTGGAGGGAGAAAACGCACACACCATTGAAAAAGTAGAGAACTGTCCTGTGCACGTCCCAACTCCTAACGTGAGAAGCTACGCATGTTATACAAAGTCAGCCATAGCCGACGTGAGTAACTTGGAATATATCTCACTCACTGCCGTGGAGTCGACTCTGACTCACAGCAACCCCTCCTTGGGTTTCCGATGCAATGTCACTAGCTCAAGGGGTCTCCAGAAAGGTCAACTCCCTGCAGCCCCAAGAAGGCCCACTGGAGGCAGCCAGCAGGACGTCCACAGGCCACATGAGTGCTTCCTGAGAAGGCAGAAGTAAGCCTTCAGTTCAGGGCCACAGTTCAGGGCAGATAGTGCTGTTCTTCAAAACACATGCGTGACAGGTTTTTAAGGCCTTCCAAAAGGAAGAAATGCACAAGTTATAAACTCCTAGAGTCAAGGGTGCTATAGGGGATGGAAGTGGGCATTCAAATCCTTCAGAAGGGCTAAAGCCGAGAGGACTGGCCATTCCAGTGTGAGCAGGGACGCAGACCAGCAGGGGTTCCGACACACTGCCGCTCAGGGGCAGCTGGTAGAACCCGTGAGGAGTGCCTTCTGACAGACCCACTAAAGGGGCGCGCACCTGCCTGGAAGCCAGTACCTCCAGCTCTGGGTGCCCCGACAGAAAGGCACACGGGGGCTCCCATAGCACTTCCCAGCGGCAGTGGGCAGACCAGTTGAGAAGTTTCCAGTCTGGATCTACAACCCAGACACTCAGCTGTGATACAACAGACAAACTGTGGCACGGCCACACAGTGGAACAGCGTGAGGCGAGCAAACACGCACTAACTACTAAGACACACACCACAGAAGCATCTCACAGCCTCAAGTCCAGCCAAGGAACCGAGAGAAAGGCCACCTACGACCCAGGTCTACATACACGGACTCCACAAACAGACTCAGCAGTATCAGGAGCCAGGGTAGCAGTCACCTTTGGGAGGGATGAGGGAGCTGGGCCTGGGAAGGGCCTGAGGAGTCCTGGGGTGCTGGCCACATTCAGGTTCTTGGCCTGGGCAGTGGTGACAAGGGTACATTCACTCTGTGGTCGTTCATCAAGGGATACGCTTGTGACGGGCAGACCTCCTAGATGCACACTACATGTCAGCTCAAGGGCAGCGCCCTGAGGAGGGTCACTGGCTGAGAGTGCACAGAGCCACGTGGGTCTGCAGCCTCTGCCAGGTGCCCTGCCCAGGAGCCTACAGCAAGGACTGGGCAACTTCTGAGCGCACACGTGAGCCTCTGCTACCCACACACCCAACACCATCATGTACAGGAGTTGGAAAAGGACAAAAAGAACAGGGACAACAGCAGACAGAGGTGGCCACAAAACTGTGGGGGCTGGCGTGTAAACCAATGGTAACTGAGTCGTCAGCACCCAGGAAGGAGCGGGAGCCTGGCATCTTGGAGGAGGAGACGTGTGGAAGCAGCTTACTCAAGCCACAGGACTCCCAGAAAAGCTCAGGCTCTGGTGCCCCAGACACATCTGAAAGGGGACTGACTGACTGTGGAGACGGGAACAGCGGCTGGTCTAGCTGCTCCCGAGCAAACTCCCAACCCCAAACCTCCTCTCCCATCCCAGGCAGCTCCGGGAGAATCCTCTCACCTCCTGCCAAGACTGGGACAGACAATCTCCAGAAATCTGTGCAGCTCAGGACAGACATGAGACACATACAGAAAACAGAGAAATGAAGCCAAAGGCTGCACTCTGAATGATGATGAATGGGGGTCTACCCCCATTTAATTCTAGGGTCCCAGGACATATGCAGCCAAGTTTCTGCTTTCAGTCAGGAGATTCTTCTCCAGGGACGCCAACTGGCTCACAAGAGAAAGCTTTACCCCTGCTGACCCACAGATCCAGGGACAAGAGAGCAGGCTCCCTGTCCCCACCCCAGGAAGCCCATCAGATGACAGGGTGGGCCCACACCCTAGCTTCCATTCAACTTCTTAGTGTGTCACTCAAATGTAAATGAACTGCTTCTGACACAAAAGTAAAAAGATCAGAACAAACAGAACAGAGCAAATCAAAAGAAGGTGCCAAGAGACAAGCCAGTGGCTTCGTGAAACAAGAAGAAGATGGTATCAAACAAGAACAGGCTGAAAACAAGAGCAGCTTGCAGAAATTCAACACAAGAAAGCAGTGACGGCAATGGAATGAAAGGTCTGAGAGAGACAACTGCCAGAAAGTAGAGAAAAAGGAAGGAAAAACATAAGACACCAAAAATGAGAATCAATCGATTATCAAATTTTAGAAAAACAGAGAAAATACAGGGGAGGAGATTGTCCAAGATATAGAACATTGGCTAGAATCAAAGACTAAGTCTCCAAATTAAAACACCTACCAAGTACCCAGCATTCCATTTCCCATACCCCCACTACCCACCCACCTCCAAACAAAAAGCTACAGAGAAAAGCACGTGCAAAGTCTGAGGAATCGGGCCACGTGACTTCTCTATAGCAACCCTGGAAACTAAAAGACAATGGAGCCGAGCCAGTAAACAAGTTTCCATCCCAGCACTCTACCCCCAGCCGCGTGGCAGAAGGGAGTAAAGGCATCTGTAAGATGGAAAATCTCAAACAACTCCCCTCTCATTCATCCCTTCTCAGAAGCTACTAGAGGATGCATTCCACCAAAACCAGGGCATAATCCTGAAAGACGAAGATAGAGATCCAAGAATGATGTGTCCGACAGGAGGGCAGCAAGAGAACCCATAGAACGACTTCATGCCAAACCCCCATGAAACAGGTGTCAGCGTCCCTGATCACGAACCAGGGAACTGTGATGCGCAGAAGAAACAGGAGCGCCTAAATAACGCACTCAGAGCCGTGCGGCTGACAGCGGCAGCGGCAGCTCACCCCCGAGTGGTTCCACGGGCTGGCTGCTCGGCTAAGCCTTGAAGTGCATTACCTCAGCGCCCTTTCAGAACGACCTGATGTGGCCATGGGGTTCTCCCATGCAACCTGCCAAGGGCAGAGGGCTAGGAAATTGGGCAGCATTTTAATCTAAGTCCATCTACTTCCAAAAAGGTGCTCAACTGCCACACGACACTACCTCCCACGGAGCCACTTGAGACAAGACACAGGACTTATCCGCAAAAAAGGAGAAGATTCCACAGCCTTCAGACCATGTGGCGAGGTTAACAGTTTCAAGCCATTCTGCGTAAAACACTGAAGCAGGTGTGAAGGTTACTTGGGGGCAAAACAAACAGGAAGTCAGGTGGGCCCGCACCTGGCGTAGGAGGCTCTCTCAGGTGCAGCCCTGCCGTGGCTCTACTCCTTCACCAGGCCGAGGAGTAACCCGAACACCCAGAGCCAGTCTGCCCAGGAGAAAGGCCTTCTGAATCTGCAGCGCCAGCCACCGCCGTACTCAACCCTCAGCGACAGAAAGAAAGCAGAAGGTGGCAGACGCCCTAGTGCCTCACAGCAGCACAGACGATGTCCCTCAGACACACACAGCACAGCGTAACTCAGCAAGAACTACGCTCCAAATGCTGACTCCCTGCAAGACAAAGCCACGGTATCACTCACACGGCCACGACTCGAAGGCCCGGTCACTGTGCCACTCACATGGCTGTGACTTGAGGACACGTTCACAGTGTCACCTATGTGGCCGTGACTCAATGTGACTCAAGGGCCTGTTCACAGTGTCACTCATGTGGCTGTGACTTGAGGGCCCGCTGATGATGTCACCCGCACAGCTATGACTCAAGGTAAGTCAAGGGCCCATTCATGGTGTCACTCACATGGCGGTAACTCAAGGGCCTATTCACAGTGTCACTCATGTGGCTGTGACTTGAGGGCCCATTCATGGTGTCACTCACATAGCCATGATCGAAGGCAATTCGAAGGGTTGTTCACGGTGTCACTCACGTGGCCATGACTCCATGTAACTTGAGGGCCTATTCATGGTGTCACTCGCATGGCCATGACTTAAGGGCCCGTTCACAGTGTCATGCACATGGTTGTGACTTAAGGCATCAATCATACCTTAATTTCATTGTCGTTTGCAAAATTGCCAAAGGAAGCCATGATCTTGGGAATAGCTGCAGCCAGGGTCTCCTGAACAGACTCCTCAGGCCTCTTGCTGATTCGAGTCAGGCAAGGCAACAGGTTTACCAGGTAAGGCCTGCACAGGTGAGAGGAACAGTCATTACTCCTCCAGGTCTGCTTTAAGGAGAAAGAGAAGCAATTATTTTAATACCTGTTAGGGAAAAGTTAGTTTTTATATGCAAATAATAGCAGAGGCCGGACCAGGATGGACGTTGGCTGAGAGAACAGGAAGAGGAAAAGCAAGGAAGTGTGAATGGTGCGGGATACACCCCTTCCACGTCATCCCAGCCGACTCGAAGAAGCGGCTTCAAGGGATTTACAGTGAACTACAAACGGCTATCAAAATACTTAAGAGTTAATTGGAAAATAGTAATATTTAATTCAATTTAATGATATTAAAACATCATTTTAAAAGCAAAAGTTAAAAATGGGAATAAAGCTTCCTTGAAAAA